TTCCTTGAGGTCGCTGAAATGGTGACTAGCCAAACAAATCAACAAAGTGTGCCATATGTAGCATGGAATCTCTGATTATGCAACGAATCTTAACGTGCAATACGTAGTGAGGGTTTAATAGCGATGTATCTGGGTCCAAACGCTCCTTTGGTTTCCAAAATCAAAGAAACTCTGAAGCACTACTGAGAATCAAAGACGGTCCAAATTCTTTCAGTTCCAATAAAATAAACAGAGTAGCTTTTCTCTCTGGTTTGGCAAGAATTTTTTACTGCCAAGGCTTTCATGAAAAAGTCAATTTATAAGGTTTAGAGGAATCACGAGTTAGCAGGAAGTTAGCATATGCCATGTTCTGAGCAGAGTAGTTCTAAAAGACTAAAACATATAGCACTGCAATATTTTTTCAGTTAAACAAAAACACAAAAATACATTTTAATGGATTCTGGAGGGTTAATGAAATTAGACAAGCTGACATATAATGACGTGCTCCTTGGTGTGGAACTAGGCTAACATAAACACACGACCACAGGGAAGATGTAGGATGAAGGTTAAACTTTTCTCAATAATCTTCATGTTAAGGATCATATGACAGGAAGAAAATACCAAAAACAGGCTAAACTTCAGCCAAAAGAGCATCTAAAGTGATCCATCCACAGCACAAGGGTAGTTATTAATATGCTCCTGTGTGGTTTGGATTACTCACTGTGAAAAAGTCTTGATCCAAAGCTTGATATCCACACTAAAATTTTAGTCAGCCTGTGAGTGAGTCTTTACAGATAAGTGCAAATATTTGGTGTCTGCTACACTCTGAATCCACAGGCTGTGGTGTACAAACTGCAAATGTTAAAAATATAAACAAAACAGCCTCAACTAATAGAAACAGGGTTGATACATCTTCCCTTAACAAGTAGATGTAGATGTTTTTACTGCTTCACGCTGCTGTCTCTCATATACCAATGTGTAAATATTCATGTTATATAGGCTATTTTTAGGGTGATTGTTCAAAAGTTCAAGTTTGTTTCTTATGAAGTCTTTAACGTGAATAATTTTATAGCATCAGAAATGCCAGCACCTTATATTAGCTAACTAGATAATAACTAGATTAGCTATCTAACTAGATATTGCACATTATACTGTGAACCTACTGGATGACATTTGCCCAAATGAGCTTCTGTTTCTCAAGATGCGACATCACTTTAAGAAAGGAAAACCTTTGTATGAACACCGGTAGACTTGACAGAGCTTTAATGTGCTTCAACAAATAAGGTGGCAATTTGAACAGGCTTTCAAATGCTAGTTAGTTTCTGCCACTGAAAAAGAAGACTATAGTTGATAAATCATATTCTCAGATTTGAAATTTTCTCCTTATGTGTTTGTAGTGTTGTATTTCCTGTGCATCAAGATATTCCTTCTGCGGGGTTTTTTTTTATACATGTAGAGGAACCTCTGCCCACTGTCACACCTAACTTAAGCTCAATTAGAGCTTCTATAGGAAATAACATGAGTTCAGGTGTAGCATGTGCCATTTTTCTGTTCACATGCTTTGTTTATGTGCTTTTTATGTGCTTTTTTCTACCTTTGATGTTGATGTATCACAAAATTTCGGCGCCTATCCACTGAACTACCAAGCATAGAAAACAACTGTAACAACTGTAAAATAAAACTTAGAAAATGTGCATAGCAGCAGCTACAAATGCACAATTCATATTTTGTTACATATACACAAAAAAAAAAAAGAAGGGAAGGATTTTAGTCCTACCTAAATGCCACACAGACACATATGTTGTGCTCTTCTTAGCTTCTGTACACCTTGCATCTGTCGTCGCAACGGATGCCGCTATCTACAGCTGCCACATGACGGGCTTACCTAACACCAGGAGACTGGTTTTGGAAAATGCGTGATTGGCTGACCTCTCCGGAGAATGTCAGTTGGGGAGACAGCACGTTAGAGTATAATCACACAAGTCTGACCTGACATATCATGACACTCCCTGCCACGGCTGTGCCACTCAGCGCGGCTGGGCACAAGTTGCTAAGCAACAGGCAACGGGAACGTCGAAATCTCCAACATGAGTAAAAGCTCAACAGAAATGACAGTGACAAACACGGACAACCGGGACAGTGGGTGGGTGACAAGGTGTTCCTCTGTGCAAAAAAAACCCCCACTTCCTCTTGTCCACCCCATCACACATGCTCCTGCTGCACCGCCCTCGTCAACCTTCTCATCCGCCTCATTCATTTCTGTCTCCGGGAAGAGTCCCCCAGTCACAACATGTGTAACAAGAATTAAAATCAGGTTTACTTCTGTTATTGCACTGACAGATCACCGACAGGATCACTGTTTTAACATGTCCCGCTAGACACTGCCTTGTGTTTTCCAGTGTTTTACATGTTTCTACTGTTGCCTGATGTGACAGTGCAGCACAACTTTAGAGACTTAAGCCTGGTGTTAACTTAATTAAACTGTCGGGGAACACCTTGTTAGTCTCGTGTTTGTACACTGAGATGTTAATGTTTTCATTCGGAGGCACAATCCGTGATCTTACTGTAAATAGAAGTGTCACCCCAAACAAAATCTGCTCTCGCTTGAGTGTTAGGCCCGTCTGCCACCCCTGCTCACCTTGCAGCGGCAGTGCCGTCTCTGGATGTTGCTAAGGGTTACCTGCTAATTGTCTACGCCTGACGAGGTGAGGATTAAGGCTTGCCCGAGGGTGGCTTGAAGTGAGAGACACCACTTCTTGCCTCCATGCCTTTTGCTTTTAGCTGATATTATAAGTACTTGAAAATGAATCCAGCATTAATCATTTTAAAGAGAGCACCAACTTTGAGCCAGGTCACAACCGATCATTTAAACTCAATTATTTTCAAATATTATCAAATATATCATCAAATATTCAAATGTACCTTTTTAAAATACATTTTTTGTTAACAATTCTGATTTTGCATATAGATTTGACGCAATTTATTAAATAGCTAGACCAGTTATTATTATTATTTTTTTTAAAGATTTCAAAACAAGAGACACAAGTCTCTTTGGGGTTTTTTTCTGTAGAAAGCCATGACTCACCTTTAATAGAAAGTTTGAGTTTCTCTGCATGTGCAGATCTACCTGTGCTAACACAGACTGCATTTACAGCATCATGGCTTGGTTCTCTCATGTAGCCTGAAGATAAATAAAACACAACCCGAGGAACTGAACAGTAAACATGATCCCTAGACTGCATTTGGGGACAGGCCTCTATTTGTTTGCGTTGTTGTGAGACATCCTATAGACTCAGCTTTAAATCGACTACTTGCAAATACAGTAGTAATAATTGTCTGAGGGAATATGAATAGTTTTACGAGCCACCGGATGTGTTTATTTGATGCAATCTGCACTTGTTGATCAGGATGGGTGCAGAGTAATCTCTCAGTTTTCACGGATGAATAAACTGAACCTTGATGGGACCTTAAAACTCCAATAGAACATGAAATGAGTAACTGATTTTATGTTTCATTTCATTTCATTTAGAAGATCGAGGCTTTTGCCTGAGTCGTCATCAGACTCGGATACATTTCAAGATATTACCTGTGGAATATTGAGTTTCATATAAACAGTAACACAATAGAAAGGGTCGCTGGCGTTTGTTTAGTTCTGAGGTAGTTCTTGTTGACTTCGTCTGCCAGCCTGGCCTGACCTCAAACAGCCACTCACTTTGAGCTGGCTGAAGACAGAGATGGAAAATGGGGTCAGGTCTAATCAACATTGCTGTCATGATTATGTCCAGTTCACTCCAACCTGTAACCAGGCAACAGCCAGCGCTACCACAAAGCTGATGTGACAGTGGCAGGTAGACAGAAAGTCGAGGGGTGGACAGGAAGCTCGGGCGGGTGGGTGTTTAGCCCAACGCTGCCTATTTCTGTCCAGCTCATCACTCTGTATAAGTATTAGCATTTGAACACAGAACACACGTCAAAGTGGGCACCCATTACACTCGAGAAAAGGCATCGTATATGCTCCTTACTATATGTATACTACTGTGATAAGTCTGGAAACAGTCAATGATCTGATTGAGTTAAATATTATTCTCTTAGCTCTGAGCTGAGCACAGGACTCCTACTTCTTCTGTTTGTTCTTCTTCATGTGAAGCCAGTTAGGGAAATCCTCTGAAAATTATGTCCTTTTTAAATTCAAACGGGGTATTTCGAGCATTTTTATAATAGCTGCATCAATGCACACAGTGTGCTACGTTGTGAAGAGCATTTTAAATGCAATCACAGGTTATGCTGTTTCACCGAGCAAATAATTATAAGGCTTGTGAAGATGAAATTACCACAGATTATTTTCAATATAAAAACAAAAGGCATATGCAGTGAAGTGACACAGGCCGCTGCCTCTGTTATATCACACAAATTAAAATGTGAAAATGGTTACAGTGCGCGTGCGCGTGTGTGTGTGTGTGTGTGTGTGTGTAGAGGCTGAAAACAGAACACAATTTGCCATAGTCTTAAGATAGTATGCCAGCAAAGCTGTCATACAAAGCTTTTTAATTTCACTCTGTTGCTACTGCTGATTTTTGCATAGGTTAGGAGTCACCTGAGCAAACTCTTTGCCCCTCAATGTTCAGTGGGACTCACCTGGTAAGCACTCAAATTCAATACAAAGATGGAACACCCTGCAAATTTCAAAGTATGACAACTTTATCTAAGAATTTAGAGGACGTTAAAAATAGTTACATTTTTTCATTAACAGGAAAAAGCTGTTTATACAGCAGGAAAACTTCCCGCTCAGCTGGCCCGAGCTGAGTTCATTGAATGATGATCCAAATTATTTATGTGCAACACTGTGCAGTGGTTTAGGACAATAATACAATTTTTGCATTCACCACTTACATATCTGGCTCTAAGTAAAGGCAGCTGTTTTCCTATTCTTCTTTAAAAGGCCAGCACGCATTAATAATAGCGCAACAAAGCATGCAAATAATGACTTGTGGACAGGAGTTCTCTATAAAGAGGGCACTTACCATGGTCTTCTGCGGACATCGTATAGGTCAATCTTGTTGGGTGCCCTCCATGGAGTTGCTAGAGAGCACAAGAAAACAAATTATAGCCCATCCAGTGCACTGTAGGATGTTTCAGATCAGATTAGATCAAGGTAATCATAATTTCAGTCTCTCTATCAAGTTACCAGTAGAGCCATCTGATAAGAGATTGGCAATGTTCTCCAGCTGAGGAGCCCTAGGGTCAATTTAGACTCTATCATGCAGTAAGTTATGACTGAGGCATCACTGTTGACAGTAGTCTGCAGCCTACCTGGGTAGTATCGTGTCATGCCCGTGGCACTCCCAAACACCTGCCAGCGGAGAGAGCTGTCCTCCCTACGGTTTTCAATGAAGACCCTCTCCAGTGCCTGGGTCCAGTTTAATTCATTAAGGATGACGGGGGCTGGGGGAAAACACAGAGAGCGAAGCACGTGAGAAAAGACTCATTATGACTAATTGGAACAGATATTTATGCAGGCTTCAGCGTTACAGTGATTTGTTCCCTTTTTTTTTTAGTGATTTTTGCATTTTTTGGTGCACAATAGATGCAACTCAGGCACCAAAGGCTTTGTTATTCATCAAATTGCAGAAATACAAAGATGTAAGTAGACCCCATTATTTAAGGGGGTCACACAACTCTCGGCATGCTGATTTTCTGAGTAAAAAAAAAAGTAGTCACTTGTCAATACTATTATTATTATTACATGATTACATGATTTGCAGGTATTCAGGGGTCAAGTTCTGCTCTCCATAGTTTTGTTATGGTCTGTTGCAAGGTTGCAGTGCTAAAACCCCACAGAAACACAGATTTATACAAAGGAATCAAAAACACAGTTGCGCTTGTTCTCTTTTCAGCAGGTGTCTCCTGCTCAGATGACACACGTACCAAGACATACCCACAAGGTGAAAACAACACCAGCCTAATGGCTGTTGCCTGCAAAGATAGTGGACCTGAGTGTAACATAACAGCAGCTTTTCTCTGTTACAAACCCAAAGGTCAACTCTCTTGCTGAACAACCTTGTCCACACCAGCAAAGAAAGCTTAAAACACAAGAATGCATGTATGCAGGCGGCTTGGCCGGAGGTCGCCGTCTGAGTATGGAATTAGTCTAATCTGGGAAATCTTCTTTGGAGGGCAGGGGAAGGATCTGATATGACCTTGGAGGAGGTCGTACAGTCATACTGTCACTAGCAGGTTTTGGGGAAAGAAACAACTGATGAATGTTTGATAATAGGGGCCCATAAACTGTTTCTGCAGACATCCATTAGGATGTTAGAGGATTTACGGGTGCTTGGTTATTTGGAGAGGAGAAACAGGTAAAAGGAAAAAGACTATTCAAGTCAACATTATTAATATAGTGCCAAATCACGAGTTGCTTTATATAGTAAAGTAAATCTTGTGCATGCACGACCAGATGCATTATTGTGCGTGTTCTGAGCTGAAGCATAAGGTCATAGATCTCACATGTCAGACATAAATGGATTTATAACTGTGGAAAGAAGCATTCATCATCTAGTCAACAATAGGTGGAGGAACACGACGCAAGTGTAAAACGCGCATCTTTTCTGCTTCCGCCTGTCTTCTGTTGTTTTTACGCTGTCGTTGTTTTGCTTGCACTCGTGATCTAAATCATGCTTTCCATTCGTGCATATCCCTGCGTGACGCAATGTGCATCCACACACACATAAGCCAAAAAAAAAAAATGCTTTCAGTCTGTGTTTAATAGCTAAGCTGAAGTCAGAAGACGGGGAGTGCAATCAGAGGTTTAATAGCCACCTGATTAAAGAGGAAACAAGACGAGGCACTGAGCTGAGGAGAACTTCACTCGCTTCTCTGATTTAATTACTCAGCCAACCAAAGCTAGATAAGCCCCTGAACCGACAAGTCCAGCTTTTCTCAACCCCACGTTTGAATTTCACACAAATAAACGATCATTATCCACTTTTCCATGCTTTTCAATTACTGCTCAGTCTTTGACAACCTGTCAGTTTAAGAGGTAAGAAATATGACACTAGCCTTCCATCATTCACTTCTCACCTCCTTTACTGTGAGCTGTCACACATTATAGAAAAATATAACACTGTTTATTGCTTTTAGTTGAAAGCTGCCAAAGTCTTTTTAAAATTGTGGCTCAAAACAACCTGTATCCTGCATCCTAAAACGCACACGCACACGCAGACACACACACACACACGCACACACACACACACACCATAAAGCAGCACTAAGCAATGTTTGGAGGATATGAAAGCCAAATTGCCGCCATCACCAAAGGGAGCTCCTCGACATGCTTTTTTTCTCAAAATTCATAGACACAAACACAAAAGAAGAATGGAAGAGGATAGAGGCAGCCCTGCAAATGGGCACAAACATAAAAACACATTTGGGGGA